AACCTTGAATACTTTAGGTCACTGGCCCGAGCTTGCTTACTGCTTGCTGCCTCAGTCCCTTCCCTAAAGAATAGGCAAACCATAGAGAACCAGAACCAGGCGTTCCAGGAAGGAGCAAAAATAGGAATTATCCCACCCTCAGAGCTGCACGGTGATTCCAAGAGGCTCATGAATCATTCTGTGCACCATATAGAGAGAATAAATGGGTTGTACCTATATGCACTGGTATTTTCAAAGATGTATAGGTACTGTTGTGGTTCATAAAATATAAATTTATTTTTTAAACAAGTGCTTAATAAGTTATTTTGATCCAATAATGTCTTTGGGAAGAGAATAACCTCAGAAGTTTAGCTGCAGGGTGAGGATTTGGGTGCTCTGCCTCAGCTCACTTGTCCTGAAGATAAATGTCCTCAGGCATGGAGCTCTGACTTTGTGACTAAACAGTAATCACCTGTCAGCACAAGTGCCTGTTTCTCCAGTATAATCAGTGGCACAACATTCAATGCACGGTTTAGCCACAGTGCCAGGGCAACTGCAGGCAAAGGGAAGGGAGGACGGCTTTGCCACCTCATCAAAAGAAAAGACTGGCTGTCAGAGAATATTCCAGAAACCCCTGGACTTAGGACTGGGAGACCATGGAGAGGGTATCCTAGGACACAGCTGGCATCAGGAAGTGCAAGGGGATCCACAAGCCCAGGAAGTGGTAAAATTCCTAAAATCTTGCCCCTGCCATTGGCTTATAGGGAGCCCATCCTGATGGTTCAGCTCCTGTGATTTCACCCAATGCTGCCTCAGGCCACTCCACCAGCCACAGGTGTGAGTACCTCAAAGGAAGGGCTTTGTCCAACCCTCTGTGAAAGGTGCCTTCGCAGCAGTGCTCTAAGTTGATTCTACCTTTGCATACCTGCTGGGGATTTAAATTTCATGGAATTCTGCTACAAGAAGGAAGTCTGTCTTCTACCTCTTTCCTCATTCCCCTCACCCCCACCCCAGCCTTGGAGAAATAGCAAAGGAAGATGCTTCTCTTCATTAGTCTATGCAAGAGACCTGCAGCTCAAAACAATGTGTCTAATACTGGTAACTGGTAAATGGGAACTTGAGGGAACTATGTCTTCACAGCTGGGAGCAGGGGGATTCACCAGGTGCTGAAAAGTAACCAGAAAAAGGTCTTTTTTTATGTAGCTGTAGGGAATGGGTAATGGGATATGTCCTTATTTCCTAACTACTCCCAGAGAAAAGCCATACTTCCTTTTTCTTCCTGTGAAGTGGAAGAAATATGAAGTTGAATCTACTAAGTTCAGGGTTCTCACCAGCTAAGAGCCTTACAAGTGCATCTGAGCTCGCAGCCCATGAGAATGAGTTGTTTTATGGAAGGCAGGATTCTTATTAAAAGTCCATATGATCTCCATCACAGAAACATGTTTTCCCTATAGCTATCTCTATCCCATTGCTAATCTGGTTGTTGTATGTATGGAAGCAAACTTCTTCAGCCCGTAAAACTCACATCATACTGTAGTAGTGTTTGTGAAAAACATTTTTTCATTTAAAAACAAAAAAACAAAAAAAAAAAAAAAAAAACCAGCTGATCACAATGCAATAGCCAGCTTTGTGCAAAGTAAAATTTGTAGAGAAAAACAATGAAAATATGCTACTGTCTCTCACTGTTTCATTTCAGTTGCTCTGAGAGAGATAATAGTGTAGGATATGCTGCACGGAATAGAGTTGAACATGTTTCCTCTGCTCCCAGAGAACCTGAAATACCTCTTTAAGCTCTTCTCACTCTCTGGGCATCAGTGAAGAAGTAGTTAATAGGCCCTGCACAAAGAAAGTTCTGATGGAGTCCTTTGAAAGACCTGGTTTGTGGCCCACCACCCAGAAGTCCCAGCGTGATTCATAATGAGTCTCTGTCCTGAGAGTTACTCTTTCCTGTGGGGGACCAAAGACAGGGGGAATAGGGCCTGCGAGTTCAGGCTTATGTTGTGAGAGGGAGTGTGAGGCCAGCAGAAGTGATACCAGTGGGCTGGGGGGAGCTCCCCAAACGTCGGTGAGACCTCCACCCCAGCTGGTGTCCAGGCTCTTGACACCATTGAGAAGATAATAATTCTGTCAAGGAATTCAAGGAAGAGTGAGAAAATAGTAAAAGTATAGAGATTTATTGCAAAGGGCAAAGTACACATTCAAGAAAAGGGAGCGTAGGCGCACTCAAGAGAGTCACACAGCGGGGTTTGGGATTTCTGTCTTTATGGGTTTCTTTAACCAAGGGGTGGAATATTCATGAAAATTCTTGGGAAAGGGTAGAGATTTCTCATAACCGCAGTGGCACCTATTTTTACAGCAAATATGGGTGGTCTTGGAACAGTCCTGGCGCTGGTAGGTGTGTGATCTAGTATGTTAATGAGTTTATAATGAGGTCCTAAGAGAAACCTAGGTCAAATCCAGCCACATACTGGGTTCAGTAGGTATTAGCTAGCTTGGTCCATGCCCTGTTTTTTAGGGTCTTATCAGCCTATAGCCTCTAGTCATGTGAAACTGCTGTCTGGAATTTTTATTCTCTTGTGACCACCCTATATTATTCCTGTCTCAGACGAGGAGGGACGTGTGCCCACATGTTGCCTCCTTCTGTAGTTGAGCTGTCTACTCACCCATTCTTCCAGCTCCTGCAAGGACAAACTTCTTAACATAACTGCTACGAGATTAGCATCCTACCCTAGTTCTCCTTGGATAGTATGGGGTGAGCTAGCAGAAGGGGAAGAGGGGAGGTATAAACCTTTTGTGAAGGTCTTAAAAATATGCTCATTCTTGGGGCAGGGCCAGGCCCTTTGATAATTACCCACAGCCTTGGGCCTTGGCATGGGAGAGCTCTTTGGATCTTATCTTACAACCTCAATTTGTGAGGCAAACGTGATAACCACTACACTACAGAAATTCCTCATACAACCTCAATTTGTATGCAAAATTAGACATAGACCCGCCAGAGATGATCATCTGAACTAAGCTGCAGAGACCACTGCAGGGAGGCCAGTGATGGATGCTGTGCAGGCTCCAGGTGTTTTGACAGTTTCCTGCAAGTCATTCTCGTCCCACTTCATCCTTGGCACCCAGGCAGGTCTCTGAAGTAGAAGGTTATGGGTTATAAACAGCCTACCTTTTCACCATTTTGTGAAATCTTTCAGCCAACCTTTTCCCTTCTATTCGTTCAGTAATTTATTCCACAAAGAATTATTGAGGACCTGCCTGCCATGCCTCAGGCCCTGTGCTAAGTTCTGGGGGAAGGCTTCTGACTTCATGAAAATTACAGTCTAGAAAGGAAGCAGATAGTAAATAAATAAGTAAACAAATCAACAAGATAATTACAGATTGGTATAAGTGCTATGAAGGACATAAATGGCAAAATGAGATGGAAAGTAACTGGGAAGGGCTGTACTATAGGGAAAGGCCTCTCTGAAGAGGGGACATTTGAGCTGAGTCCTCAAAAAACAGGAGTGGCTGCAAAGAGCTGCAAGAAGAACATTCCCGGCAGAGGGAATGCGAAGACAGAGAGGCAGAAAAGCCTTGGGGAGTTCAGAACGGAAAGGCCATGGCTGGAGTACAGTGAGGAGAATGATTTTGGGTGAGTGCAGAGAGAAGTCAGGAGCCAGGCTATACAGGGCCTGGGACGCCATGATCAGAGTTTTCATTTTATTCTGAGAGCAACAAGTATTAAGAGAAGTGAGTAACATAAAGATCATTGTATGTTCACTGCCACATTGTTTGTAATAGCAAATTAGAAACAAATGTCATCAATATGGAACTGGGTAAATAATTTTAGATTCATTGCAGTGACATGCAGCAGTTAAAAACGGTAAGGCATATCTATATATATTGCTATAGAAGGATTTGCAAGATACCCTAAGTGGGAGAAAAGAGCTTAAAAATATGTTACAAAATGTATTTTTAAAAGAGGAGATGTATATGTATGTAGGTTTGCCTGTGTATAAAACATCACATAAAGGATATACAAGAGGGCTGGGCATGGTGGCTCACGCCTATCATCCTAGCACTTTGGGAGGCTGAGGCAGGCAGATCACCTAAGGTCAAAAGTTAGAGACCAGCCTGACCAACATGGTGAAACCCTGTGTCTACTAAAAATACAAAAATTAGCTGGACATGGTGGCGCATGCATGTAATCCCAGCTACTTGGGAGGCTGAGACAGGAGAATCACTTGAACCCAGGAGGCGGAGGTTGCAGTGAGCCGAAACTGCACCACTGCACTCCAGCCTCGGTGACAGAACGAGACTCCTTCTCAAAAAAAAAAAAAGGATATACAAGAAGCTGATAACAGTTGCTTCTGGGGAGAGGAACTGGGGCACAGGGTGGCCAGGGTGGAAAGGAGACTTACTGTTCATAGTATATCCTTTTGTATGTTTAAATATCCTACAATGTGCCTGATCACTTATTCAGCAAGAAAGAGATGGTGTCTGAATTGCGGACACCCTCATTGCTGTGCAGAGAATGGACTGGAGAGGGCAAGAGCAGAGACAGAGGGTCAGTTAGAAGGCTCTGGCAGTGGTCCTGTTGAGGGATGGTGGTGGCTTGACCTGTGGTGTTGGTAAATGGAGAGGAAGAGATGTGGATGGATTCACGATTTACTTTAGAGGCTCAGCCAGCTGGGCCTGGTGTAATTACTGCTGTATTCCACACTGACATTCCCTACACCCACAGTTTAAGAAAACTTTGTGCATTTGAGATGGGAACTGGGCTTACCTGACTCTACCTTGACTTCTCTGACATCTTTGTGGTGGGAAGGGTTCTTGGGCTCCTTCCAGGTGCTAAAAACCTCTGGATTCCAGACAGTGATGTATCACAATGTGGACGACATAGTTATGGACATTCACCCCTTTCACAGACACATGCAACAGTTGCAAACAACTTTTAATGGCTACAAAAAACAAAAAGAAACAAAACAAAGTTACACTGAAGAAGCCCACTCATTTCTCAATGGAACTTTCTTTCTTTGCAGAGAGATGCCAAAGGCCAGTACCTGTTTGACCTTCTTTGCCACCACCTGAACCTACTTGAGAAAGACTATTTTGGTATCCGCTTTGTAGACCCAGATAAGCAGCGGGTAAGTCAATATTCAAAACACAAAAGGAGGACAGAGCTAGTCAGTAAGCCTGAGGTCTTGAACTGTCATTCATATTCAAAGTCAAGCTTCAGGAATCAGGGACCAACCAGACCCTGCAGTTGGATGTCGTCTCTTCAAATCATAGCATTAGACCTGGAAGGCACCTTGGCTAGAGCTCACCTGGAGAAGCTTGTCATTTTACAGTTGCTGAAATGGCAGGCTAGGAAGCTTAAGTGATTTGCACAAAGTTGGAGGCAGAGCAGCTAGGCTGGAGTTGTGGTCTCGGAGCCCAGGTCACAGGTGGGCCTCTCCTGCCCCCTTTCTAGTAAGCAGCTGAACCACATTGTACTGGTTAAGAAAGGCCTCACCAAAAGTGCCATACCAACCCAATTTAGACAGGACAGAGACAGAGGCAAACCAGCATGGGCCTTGCAGATCTTGCAGTTCTTGCTCTGCTCTAGACAGCATAGGCAGCTCTGCAGACACAGGGCATTCTGACAGACAAGGGTTCTGATATTCCAGACAGATACAGGAACAAGTCCATTATCTCAGGCCCCTGCCTATTTCTCCACCTTCATCTCCCTGACCTGTCTTCTCCCTGCTGTGGTGCCACCAGACAGTAATATTTTTGCTCTCCAGATACATCCTACCTTCTTTCTTTGCAGAGCCTTCATCTATAGAGTTCCCCTGCCTAGAATCTTCTCCTTTTCCTCACCGCTCCACACTCCACACCCTTGTTCCAGCTAACTCCTTTTCACACTTAAGATCTTAGCTTAAACTTTCACTTCCTCTGGGAAGTCTTCCCTAACCCCACTCGGTATTAGGGATCCTCCTATGGGCCCCCATGTGCCCTCTGCTACCCTGTTATAGCACTTATTACAGCATTCTGTGATTACCTGTGTTCCCTGCAAAACTATAAGTTCCATGAGGGCCTGGACTTTACCTCATTCATCACTATCTCCCATGTAACTAGCACAGGCCTACAATGTAGTTGGTGTTCAATAAACGTTTTCTGAAGAAGTGAATGCGTGAGTGAGTTAATGGCTTACAGTGTTGTATTTCTTACATCCATTTGCTTAGCCTCCCACCTGCAGTTTCTATAACTTCCCTTCATCTACCCTTTGCTCTTTGTGGAGAGGTACTCTCTGGCATCCCCACTGAAATAGAGAGGTAATGGTGGACTATTTTTTACAAATGGTGTTTCTTTGTTTGGTCTAAACTTTTATCCTTAAAAAGGAAGGCTGGCTGTGTGCAGTGGCTCATGCCTGTAATATTGGTACTTTGGGAGGCTAAGACAGGCAGATTGTTTCAGCCCATGAGTTCATGACCAGCCTGGGCAACATGGCAAAACCCTGTCTCCACTAAAAATACAAAAATTAGCTGGAAATGGTGGTGTGTGCCTGTAGTCCCAGCTATTTGGGAGGCTGAGACATGAGAATCACTTGAACCCAGGAGATGGAGGTTGCAGTGAGCCAAGATCACACCACTGCACTCTAGCCTGCGAGACAGAGCAAGACTCTGTCTTAAAAAATAAAATAAAATAAAATAAAAGGAGGGCCAGTTACTCCAAGGTCTCTTCATCCCCTAGAGTAGTAGTATATGAAGAAAAAAAGTCAAATTATATCCTGTTCATTGGTTTTTTAGTTAGGTCAGAATGTGCTTGAGGAGAGTAAGAGAATATGTGGATGTGGTCAAGGTTAAAATGAGAAGGAGCTAGAGAGAGATAAGAACATGGGAAAGAGGAGAAATAAACATTTATGGAGTTCCTACTGCTTGCCAGGCTCTGCACTGCACACAAACCTAGTTCTTCCAGCTGATGTATACTGCTCACTGAGTTGTGCCAGGCACTAAGCTAAGAGCTTCACATATGTTATTCCATCTCATCCTTGACGAAATGAGATGAGTATCCCTAATGATAATATCTGTTCTCCAGATGAGTAAATAAAATCTCAGATAAGTTAAGTAACTTCCCCAAGGTAAGTGGCAAAGCCAGCCTCAAGCTCAGACCTGTTTGACTCCAGGGACAATGTGGTTTCTGAGATTCCATGCTGAATGTATAACTGATAGCCTCTGAAAGTTGTGTAATTCTGTGCCTTGTGGGAGGGGTTAAGGAGAGCAGAGAGACTTGAGAGAGTATCTGAGGGTTTGTAGGGAAATGGGGACCTGTAAAGAGTTGTCCTTAGTCCACTGATTCATGGTAGGATGGAGGAGCTGAGCTCCCCTGCTCCCTCAGGGTGTAAGGGCCTAAAATAAACCTCCTTCCCTGGGTCTCGAGACAGTCCGAACCCAGCACTCACATCCATCCCCATGTCACTGCTTGCTCTGCAGGAGCCTCCATGCATCTGGAAGCTCTCCTGGTCTCTCCTGGAGGAGCTGTCCTCACTCTCCTTCCCCAGGATTCCTGACTCAGGCCCAGGGCCTCCACCTTCTCTTGGCCTCTGCTTTGTACCCTTTCAAGTCCCTAGAGTCTGAAGATTGTGCCACATTGGCCCATTCACTCAAATAGAGGAGGAAACCTTCCTCTCTGAATCTTCTTTTCCTCTTCTTTTAATCCCTCCTCCCTAAGCCCGTGTTGTCTGTTTGCTAGTGAATCTGGGACTGATTTGGTCAGGCATTTACAAAAAGCCACTCTAGCCATCACCATATTCTTGGGTTCCTCTCAAGATTTCTCTGCCAGACTCCAAATCGTATGGATCGACTGTGACAGCTCTCCAGTCCCTTCTCACCCCTTGCTACTCTCTTCCAGCCTCAGTCCTTTCTTGAGCTCTCACTACAATAAAACTAAAATCTTCTTTCCAGCTATTGCCAAGGGGAATAGCCTTTTGTCATTCAGCTTTCTCTGCCCTCTGCTGATAATGCATCTCACAGTCATTAATTTCTACCTTCCTTTGTTTATTTCTTTTAATCTATCAGTCTAATGTCTAGAGGTGTTGGTGTTCTGTGTACTGAGTCCCTGGCACTGACAATGTTCTCTTAACTGTCCACAACCCCAATGTGCTCTGAACAGATAGGCCTCCTCCCTCTTCACAGGCATACCCTGGAACCCCAGTTGTTTCTGACCAATTTCATCTCTTGCCTTTGCCTCCCTGTGAAGCTGAGCCGTGGTGGGCCGTGTAATGTGAGAAGGACCTCTTAACCACATTGAGTGGCTATAATGAGTTGCCAGCCTCATGGGAACTCAGATCAGCAGAAGCAGGAGAGCAGAATGTCAGCCCAGATTATCCGTGTGGAGCTGACGGAAGAACTGGCTCTTAGTGGGTCCATTAACTGCATGACCCATGGCCCAGCCCAGAAGGTGATCACTGGGAATTAAGGGAGGCCAGGATGCTGACTGCAGGGCCCTGGCTGCTCTCCTGCCAGAGGGAGGACTCTGCCAAGACATTACACTAAATGGAAGTAGCCAGAAAAGAAGGAAGTATGGGCCCAGTCCCTTTGCCATTCAGCAGCTACCTACTGAACACTGTGCTAGGCTCTGGTGATACAGTTGTAAACAAGACGGACAGTTCTGGGCCTTCATGGAGCTTACATCTGGCAATGTTAAGTTACCTCTGGATAATCAAACCCCAATTAATAGCAGTCCTACCTAATCCTGATTAGCAAAAAGCAACAAACATCAATAATAAATTTTATAAAGAACCCATGTAGAATTAAGAAACACATATAGAATGGTTTCATTGCTTCCCCCAAACATTTAAGTACCATGGGAAAATGTATTTTGCCTCTATGTCCTGCCTCCTTGAAAATCCGAGGGGAAAAGGGTACTATCCTACACGTTGGTTGTGGTTAGTTATCATTTGAGATTTAGATTTTAAAACATTGCTGGATGCCAAGGAATCTTGAGTATGTGTTTTCTAACACTAAGGGTTGGCAATTTATGTTACTCAAAGAAAGATGGAATATATACCAGCCATCCCTGACTTAGGAAATTTCCACTTATCGCTGCTTTCTAGAGTTGCTACCAATATCTTCTATCCCCACTCTGCTGCCAAAAAAAGAGAAAAAAAGCCGGTGCATAACACACACACACACCACCCATTAAAGTCAGTATTTCCCAACTCAACCCAGGTGGGGCTCTGTCCCCGCCACACATACATGCAGTTGCTTGTGCCTAATCGCATGCCAAAAACATGGCTGAGAACTTTGGCACCCTGCTTTAGAAGACAGCATTTCCAGGGAAGCCCAGAAATGGCATCTGAAGCTGGAACTATTCCCCCCTCACAGCTGGCTTCATGGGAGCTCATTTCAGAAAATCATATCACTCTTTACTCTCCAAACTTATCTTTCCAAGCTTTTGGGCTGCTTTCACCCTAGGCTACAATCTGTCTAGTTTTTTAAGTTGGAGAAAACAAGTTATATTTTACAGCCCTTCTCATTAGGATTTTCATGTTCTGTGTTCTCTGTTTCAGCATTGGCTAGAATTTACGAAGTCTGTGGTGAAGCAATTGAGATGTAAGTATTCTCCATGAAAAGACTCAAGCCACACCCCTGGGGAGGGTGGCATGAAACCTCCCACTTGCCGCAAGTTTTGGTCTACGTATATAATTTCCCACTGTTCTCAGTATAAGTTGGCCCTAAATATATGAGGGTTCTCTTCTGATGCTTCATGCTAGTGGGCAGTACAGCCCTGTCCTCTTCTGGGTGAGGGTCTTCCCTGATGGGCACCTCTTTTTCTCTGCAGCCCAGCCTCCATTCACCATGTGCTTCCGTGTGAAGTTTTATCCTGCAGACCCTGCTGCTCTGAAAGAAGAAATAACCAGGTGAGGTGAACATGCTTCCCGCAGCCATTAGGACCTGTTGGAGAGCATAGGAAAGGGGGATGGTGACCTCTTAGAGCCTCTCGTTTGGAAGCGCCTAACTCTTAGAGGCAAGGAACTCTTCCTAAATATAATGACTTCTGTATTTCATTTCCACATGCTTTCTTTGTGTACCCCTTAGTGCAGTTGGAACAGAGCAGACTTCTTTCCTTCAAGAAGTGTGAAGACTACATCTTGAACTGGTCACTCTCAAAGGGATCTGCAGTAACTAATCAGAAGCATCTTTTCTTTTACCTATCATGAGGCCACTGTGGACATTTTTGGAGAGAGCTATGTTGCTGCTTATTTTGGGGGTTGAAAACAGTTTCAGGTGGTCTAATGGATATACTTGGAAAATGCTAAGGCATCACACCGAAAGATAAGCTAGGAGATACTGAAGATTTTAAATCAAAATGGGTAAACTCTGGTGTGCCATTGGATCAGGTTCATGATCAGCTCTTTACTGTGGGAATCATGTTCTGTGGCAGGCAGACAGCTACGTGGAATGCATCCTATCTATCCAGTACCACTTGAGGATGAGAAAGAATCTCTCTGCCTATAGCCATCCTAAACGAGGGTCAGTGAGTGAGAGCTTCTAAGCTTCCCCAGGATTTTGTGTATCTGAGCCAAATTTACTCTGAAAGCCTCACCTCAGATTCAAGAACTCTACAACAGGGATCCCTAATTTTTATATTAGAAAGACCTAATTTCGACATAAGCAAAACCTTGATGTTACTTTGTAGAAGGCAGGACCATAGGTGAGGATGTGATGCCAGGGAATCCTAGAGCTGAGGAAGAGACAGCACTGTCAGCCCTAACCCCTTCCCTAAGACCTTGGAGACAGCAAACGTGGGAATGAGGATATTGCCAGCCATATACACCATTTATCCTATAAGGCTTTGAGATCCACTCCTAGATCCTGAACTGCTTGGGAAAATTCCAAAGACAGAAAAGGAGGAGGAAGAAGGAGGAAAGAATATGGAATTCTTTTCTTTTCTTTTTTTTTTTTTTTTTTGAGACGGAGTTTCACTCTTGTTGCCCAGGCTGGGTGCAGTGGTGTGATCTCGGCTCACTGCAACGTCTGCCTTCTGGTTTCAAGCGATTCTCCTGCCTCAGCCTCCTGAGTAACTGGGATTACAGGTGCCTGCCACCTGTTCTTTTTTTTGTATTTTTAATAGAGATGGGGTTTCACCATGTTGGCCAGGCTGGTCTCGAACTCCTGACCTCGTGACCTGCCCGCCTCGGCCTCCCAAAGTGCTGGGATTACAGGCGTGAGCCACTGCGCCCGGCCAGAATTATTTTCATTTCCCGATCTAAAGCGCAGGCCAGGTGAAAGGAGCAAAAATTTCTCTAAGAGGGGAAATCAGGAAATGGGGAGAGGAGCGGGCAAAAGCAGGAATTAGTAGTGCAAAGGCAACAAGGAAGTGGGACAGGGAGAAAAGTGGCTCCTTCATGGGCCCTTCACATGGGAGTTGAGGGAAATCTTCTGATGGAGTCAGAAGGATCAGGAAGGCTTGTTCCTGCAGATGCATAGGGCAGTGTGCACCCACCTATTCTGAAGCACTGAAGATAGTGAGTATAGCTAGAACCAAATCTCATGTCTCTTACGAGGCATAGAAGCTCCAGGCTCTGCTCATCTACATGGAAGTAGAGGTGGCTCTTGCTTTGCTTCAGAAAACCAAATCTATCCAAATCATAGACACCCTACCTAAGGCTTTAGGTAGGTAAGGGTAGAACCACTATGTTTAAAATTTCAGGCCAGGCGTGGTGGCTCACGCCTGTAATCCCAGAACTTTGGGAGGCTGAGGTGGGTGGATCACCTGAGGTCAGGAGTTCGAGACCAGTCTCGCCAACTTGGTGAAGCCCATCTCTACTAAAAATACAAAAATTAGCTGGGCGTGGTGGCGGGCGCCTGTAATCCCAGCTACTTGAGAGGCTGAGGCAGGAGAATCACTTGAACCCATGAGGCAGAGGTTGCAGTGGGCCAAGATCATGGCACTGCACTCCAGCCTGGGCAACAAGGGTGAAACTCCGTCTCAAAAAAACAAAAAAAAAAACAATTTTCTAAATCCAGTGTCACTATCTTATATGAATGGACAGACCTTCCTACCTAAGAAGCAGCATAGACTTGGGAGCTCAGATCTTACTTATGTCACTTGTTCGCTGTATAGCCTTGGAAATAAGATGCTTAACCTCTCTGACCTTAGATTACTCATTTATAAAATGGGGATAATAATATCTACCTCATAGAATTGTTGGGAGGATTAACCACTATCCCGGCCTCTTATACTTCTTAATACACCCACAGTGAGCCTTACACTGAGCAAAGGCTCAATATGTCGTTGCCAGATTCATTACACAGTCCATAGGCCCAGGGGCTCTGCATCATGCACAAGTACAGGTAGTACTGGCTTTTCTCCCTTGTTTATGTGAAAGGCACTTCTTTTCTAACAATCTCTACTCCTCCTCTGTCCCCTTTCCCCACGAGCTAGAATCCTAAAACTTAAGCAGCTAATTTCTGAGTCCTGAAAGAGAAAGCTATCCCAGGTAATCATCCAAGTCCTGGTAAGCACAGCATTAGGACCATGGCCAGGCCTCTCACCAAGTCAGCAGACTTCAAGGACACTGGCAAGATAATGAGCTCCTCTCCATCTGCATGCATGTGTGCTATCCATCTTGGGCAATTTTCCCCTCTCTCTCAACCTCAGCAGCGTTCTTTACCTAGTATGCAATTTTCCAGCATTGTCAGGAGTGTGAACCACAGGTGCCTGGGCCTGATTTGCAGTCTTTGTGCCTCTCCCTCCCTGGGGCATTCTGTGAGGCTGTGGAATTAGCTGCATTTTTCTCCTCATTCACATCCTAACTAATCTTAAGAGAGTAGATACTGGCCCCAGCCTCACTCAACACCCGTAATTCATCCCTGGCTTACAGCCCTCCATCCCACCTTACTGCCAAACTAATTTAGCTGTCAGTGTGTTTTTTCCAGGCAATATAGGTCCTAAATTTCACTGCCGTCTCAGCCATTCCCATAAAGCCAGGCTGAGAGAAGGGGATGAAGTAGGAAGTACAGAATTTGCTTCAATTTATCTCTTGGCTTCTTCCCAGATGATAAATTTAGTTGCCAAATCCTGATTAATTTCTTTTGTCATTTTTAAAGTAATAGACAGATTTTCTTGTCTAGGCTAGAGACAAGGCAAAGAAAATGGGAAATCAGGTAACAGATTTGGCTTTTAACAGGGATTGCAGGTGTATGAACTCTTTGGAAAGATCAAGTAAGAGAACAAACTGACTACAAATGGGACCCCACTGCCCAAGGAAGCAAAATGTCTGACACGCAACAGGTGCTCCAAAAAATGTTAATAGAATGAATAAATACATACATGAATGAATGGAGTCATCAGGTCACTTATTCCTTCAATGAACATCATTTGAGCCTAGCTTAGGCTAAGATGGATTGGCAAACTTTTTCTGTAAAGGGCCAAATAGTAAGTATTTTTGGCTTGTCGGGCCATATGGTCTCTGTCGCAACTACTCAATTCTGTCATTGTAGTGTGAAAGCAGCCATAGACGATACATAAATGAATGAGCAAGGCTGTGTTCCAGTAAAATTTTATTTCATTGGAAACTATGACAGCAGACTGTAGTTTGCCAACCCCTGGGCTAAGAAATCAGAAAGAGCTGGCTTCAAATCCTAGGTTGTTCTTTAACTAGCTCTGTGACAAGGCAAGCAGCAGTATCTCTAAGCACTCAGTCTCCTCATCCATTAAACAGGGATTAAAATGGTAGTCACCAGCCAGGCGTAGTGGCTCACACCTGTAATCCCAGCACTTTGGGAGGCCGAGGTGGGCAGATCACCTGAGATCAGGAGTTCAAGACCAGCCTGGCCAAAATGGTGAAACCCTGTCTCTACTAAAACCAAAAAAAAATTGGCCGGGCGTGGTGGCACGTGCCTGTAATCCCTGCTACTTAGGAGGCTGAAGCAGGAGAATCACTTGAACCCAGGAGGTGGAGGTTGCGGTGAGCCGAGATCGCACCACTGTATTCCAGCTTGGCAACAAAGCAAGATTCCGTCTCAGAAAAAAAAAAAAAAAAAGGTAGTCACCTCATAGAGTTGCTGGGAGGACTGAATGAAAGAGGGCATGTGAAACAGGACACACAGCATGCACTCAGTAAATGTGAGTCTTTATTGTTATTTTGTTGTGTTATTATTTTGTCATCTCCCCCATTGAAATGTAAGCTCCATTAACAGGACTCTGGGTTGTTCCCTACTGCATTCCCAGCACCTGTGACAGTGCCTGGCACATATAGTAAGTGTCAGATGGATGGATGATGGACAGATGGATGGACAGATGGATAAGCTAGGCACAGGATGTTTAGGCTCTCTTGAAGAATATTAAAAGTAAATACAACATAGTCTCTGACTTCAAGGAGCTTATAGTCTAATATGGGGGAGGAAGACATACTAAAACCTGACTATAATTATAGTCAGGAAAAAGGAAACAGTAAATAGAGGAAGCTATTTGAAGGAAAGAGTCCCTTTGAAAAATAATCTATTTGAAGGGAAGGTGAGGCCAAAGATCTTCTGGAAAAAACTCTCCAGGAGCCTCCAGTGCTTTCCACAGTTCACAGCCTTAAACTCTGGAAATACCTGTGGGCTCATCCCCACCCTGGGAGATCAGACAGCCTTACGCCAAAGCCAACACCCTGGAGGGATGTTCGCGTTACACAAAAGCTCAGGTTTTCCCTGGCATCTTGCAGGCTTTTGCTCATTCTGTCCTGATTCACACTCCAGTCAATTTAGGACAACACTAGCATTCAAACAAAAATGGAGGTGAGGTAAAGCCTCTCTGAGGCCAGAAAGAGATCAGCAGAGTTTAAAAACCAAAAACCCAGTTTCCTCAGAAGCAAGCTTGTTCTCTTAAATCTGGTCTAGAACTGATTTCTCCCTTGGTCCCAGTAAGAAT